TTGCTATGTGTGAGATTGCTCTGAGACACATGCTAGGTCATCATAAGCTCTGGTTTAACTTTTACTTGAGTGTATTTTTGTCCTGGTGCAGGATTTTGCCTTTGCTATGTTCAATGACCTTGGACTGATCTGAGGCCTCCATCTAGGTAGCCCTGCAGTTTACAGAGCACAGGCCGAGCAGCTTCATGAAGCATTGTCCTTCTGTGGCCATGTGTGAGTGTTTATACACACATGCATTGTCTGTCTTTTCTTTTTCCATTTGCTTCTGCTTTGCATTTTATTTGCAATGAGTTGTCCTGTTGTGAGTATTGCTCATGCATGTTGAGTTAGGGTTCCCTGCAGAGTCTGTGTGGCATTGGAAAATTAACTTTGTTTGGAATTCGCACTCTGAAAGTCCTTTATTATAAGCTAGGGCTTTTGCTCCGGTGCAGCAGGATGTTGGGAAAGCTGAAATACGGCGCTGCCGAGAATCAATTAGTGTAAAAGCTGCACTAGTACCTGACTGTGTGCTGATTGCTCCTCCCACACACACAAATGTGTTGGCAGTTTTGGTCACAAGTGAAATAAGCATGTTGAATCTCATTCTAACATATCACTCTTATAGACTTTGTTCTCCACCTCAGTGATTACCTCTGGATGTATGAATTGTGTCTTGTTGAGAGCTGGGCAAAATATGTTTGGAAACAGCAGTTCCCTCCTTTCCTCTCCCTCAAGAAAAAAAGAAATTGTCTTACAAACACCAAACCAATTTATTTCAAAGTGTTTCAGTTTGGCAGATGGCAACACAGGGACTGTGGCTCTACTCACAGTAGGAAGTTGATATCTCAAGTTTACAAATGGGACTGACTCTACCCAAGGAATCTGAGTTTGTCCTCGCTGCAGAGATCTGTGAGATGTCTTGCGCATCCCAGGCATGTGATTTCTTTTCTTCCAAGAGTCCCTGCAACACTGGCTTTGCTTCCACACTTGAATGATTGACACACTAAATCACCTCCGATTCTGGTTATGAGCTGATCTTAATGAGTTAAGGAAAGTAGTGATCTCTGCTGTTGAATACCCTTGCATGTCCCAAGGATGTGGCAGTGGTTAAATATCCTGCCAGTCTGGAGGTGAGCAGATTTTGGGCTTCATTGGATTCAAGAAAGGAATGAATGAGGAAGCCTCATCAAGGGAGGACCCTGCTGTATGTAAACCAAAGGCATTGCCCTTCATGGCCACCTACCTTCTCTGATTGCAAAACTCATTTTCTGTCCTCAGTTTTCATTACACTCTGATCAGGAGAAAAGAGATCTCATTTTTATGGCAGAGCACCCAGGTTTGTGGCACACAGGCCTTAATGGCAGGCAAGGGATGAAAACTATAGGAGGCACTGTCTTCCTTTCTGCTGTGTCCAGTTCTGTCTACCCAAAACTGTGTCCCAATTCTGGCTGATGGCTTAACATAGCCACTTGTCCTTTCCTCCCCAGGGCACGTTATACACTGTTATATAACCTCTTGGCAGCTTTGTGGTACAAGAATATGTGAAAAAAACCCAAAGGGCATTCTTAATGAAAGGTTGTAAAATGTATGTACTGCCCATCCCACTTTGCCTCTTACTATTTTCCTTAATCCTCTTGTGAGCACCTGCACAGTATAATTGGATGCATGTCCCTTTTGAAACAGACTCCTATTACAGATACCTAGTCGTGGGGAAGATGAAGCTCTGCGTCCCCATCCAGGTATAAATTCACTAGCCATACAGTGCAGGGTGGGGGTAATGTTGGCATGCTGCACGATAACCGTGTGATAGTGCTTCCTTGTTGCTTCACCTACTAAAGATGAGCATGCACATGCCCAAGGAAGGGCCTGGCTGCTACAGCTTCAAAGCCCTCTGCCCTGAGCTTGTGTAACAACAGGGAATGCCAGGTAAGCACATGCTCTAATGTACAGCTCTGGCAACTGCTCTGCTGCTGTGGATGTGAGCATGTCACCTGGTGCTCTGCTGGCCAGACCAGCGCAGCTATTGGGCTGCTGAAAAGAATCAAATGCTGCATTGCTTCTTGTTCTCCTTGCTGTAAAGTCACTTGTGCATCGTTGAAGCAAACTTCTTTGGTTGGATTTCACTCACTTTGCAGCTGTAGTAAGAGTGACAAATTACTTGAGTTACTTTACATAAAAGTGAGTAGGTTTTCCCAGTACACATTTGGGTCTGTTCTTGCCATGTGTGAGTGCTATCAAAGCAGGAGGTGCTCTGTCCATGTTCTGACCCTTCCAGTTGGAGCAGGGCTGTATGTGGCCATTCCAAATTATGTGTTTCACACCAGGCAGCATGTTCAATAAGACTCTGAAATGTGCTAGATGGACACAGATCGTATGTGGGGCCGCGGTTTGGTTTTTTTGTCTCTGTGTGCAGCTGCTGTTGGAATGTGTTTCCCAAGCTCCCATCTGCAGGCCTGTTTATTATTCCCCATCTAAACCTTTTCTATATAGGGCAAGTTGGAGAACAATGGGGAGCAATGGTCTGAAACTGAGCAAAGCAGAGGAAAAAACTAGGCTATATGTCAGTACCAGTTTCATAACTGACGGAAACTAGTATGGGAGCATTTGCCCCTGGGAAGAGACTGAATCTTTTTTTCATCAGATGCAAATGAGGCAATGCAAAGGAGGAGGAGGATTCTATTAAAATTAAAGAGGGTGTGGAATTTGGTGGTATGACTTGGGCTGGAGGAATTCTCACAATCTGTCCTGCTTGTTTAATTAGTACAGATTGAAGATTTGATTATATGGTATTTCCTGTCAGAGAGGTTTCAGCGTATTGTCTTCCTTACCCACACATACGAGGTCACCTGATGTATTAGCATCTCAGGTGCTGCCCAGCCTCCAGCAGGGACATCTGGAAAGAGCAGTGAGCTGTGAAGAGACTGGTGTGAACATTTAAGCTGAGCATTAGTTGACATTTGCAGTTGTAGACAACAAGAGCTTTGCCAAGCCTGGCCTGCATGTTGGCTGTGACTGGGAGACTTGCACCTGGTCAAGTTACAGTGCAAAAGTTTGTACAGTGCTACTGTTAAGCAGTTGAGCCCCATGAGCTCTATTTAAGGCTTGTACTTATGAAGCAACTGGAATAACATGTTGGGTATGGTGGTAACTCCTCCTCTTTGGCACTTGAATTTAGACTTGGATTTTTTTGAGGTTTTTTGACCAGAAACTCAGCTGTTTGCAGGGGGGTAAAGTAGGACTTGTGATAGTAGTTCTGACTACCCCTGGGAGTAGAGCTCCACCTGACCTTAGGATTGTCCTTAGGTCTACACCAGCTGATTTCTAATGTGTCTTCTTCCTACTCAGCTCTGCTTCACCCACTTTATTTTCATTTACCCCTCTTGTCTAATAGAATAAAATAGGAATTGCACTCAGGTAACCTCCAGCAAACAGAATGCTCTTCTGTTGGCACAGCTTTATGAATGGGTTTATAAATGCTGTGTGAAGGTCACCCCTGTTGAAGGGGCCTAAATTCTCTAGTGGTGCCCATTTAGCTTATCCAGGGATGCTTTGGCACCAGACCCATTTGGGAGCCTTGCCTGCTCCTCCTGTGAAATGGTCATCCCTGTCCCTCTTTGCCTCAGTTCTGATGAGCACACTGTGACCAAACAGAAGTGTCTCTGTGGACTTACACTTGACATTTTCCTGTTCCAGTCACTCCAGGGATAATAAATAGCAATGGTAATAAATAAAAGCAGATGCTATAGACTGAGGTTTATGTATGACACATTTTCCAATGCCAGTACACACGTCCTAGTACATTAAGTACTCTCTTTGTGTGTATGGTTTAGTTTCTGCTCCAGTATCTCTCCAGTGTACCCCTTCTGTGTCAAGGCAACTGGAGCTTTCTGGCACAGGAAGGAGGAAAAGTAGCCTTCTGCAGATGTGGGTATAGTCTGATGGACCTATGGGCTGCAAAACTTGTTGGGCAAACACGTGGTCTGGAAAAGAAATTCATGCTGAAGGAGTCAGTCTTCCTTGCTCTGGTGCCCATGCTTTTGCCTCAGTGTTTCAGAGCGCTGAGGACAGCATAAAGGAAATGTCCAGGTTTCAGCCTGTATTTATCTGCCTAATTCATATCTTTTCTTGGACCTGCCAGTGTTCTGCTGTCTCCAAGCATGGCAGAAATTGGTATTTAGCAAAATACAGCTTTCTCCTTCTTTAAAATTTAGCTTCCTAATTCTGTATTGTCTTGGTCAGGAGTTATGCAAAAGACTCTAAGAATTTTGAAGTGAACAGAAATTTTCTTGGGTGAGTATCAGTTTGTGGATTAGGAAAGAAGTTTACAGGATTTTTAATCTCATATGATGAGGATCTCACTAGTGCTAGCTCCAGGCTGTATATGCAATGCTTGAATCCTTGAATAGCAGGTCCAGTGTAATACAACTACAAGTATCATTCACTGTCCTGTTTCACTAAGGTCCTCAGTGGAGGAGCGGTGTGTGTGGGAATATGAACATGCTTATAATAACTTAGAGCTTGAACTAGTTGTGTGTGGAGTCAGCTGGGATGCACCCGTGGAATGAAGCTCATGCAAGCAATTGAAGGATACCCTAGTCAGAGCAAAACAGGCTTCACTGCATGAAGCAGTGTATATACCTATCTAATATCAGTACATGTGCATATAGATAAAATTCAATTAGTTGCCCAATATTGACTTTCTCTTACTTGAGCTGTGAAAGAAAATGATACTGGGTTGGACCAAGAGACCCCAATGTAGTGTCTTCCAACCTGATTCTGTCTCACATCTGCTGAAACAGAATGTCATGCTTCAAATTCAATGAAGAATGTGCCATTAAGTGAAAATGACTGGGCTTGAACTAGTGAGCCTGTTTGTAGGAGACATCTCCAGTTTGATCTGCTGTCAGTTTTGAATCTTCAGTGTTCATAGTTAAAGCCTCTTAAGCCAAAACCAGAAATCCAGTGGGTTAAATAGGGTTTGGTCTTCAACAGCAATAAGAGACTGACAAGATAAGAAGAAGTAAATGTCATGTTTTTAATGTTGATTTGAACAGTCTCACATGAAGTCAAAGCACCAAAAACGTTGAATCTCTCTCAGCAAAGCCTAACAGCATTGACTGGCCAGACCCACCTTGTTGTTAGTATTCATCATTGAAGGGATACTCTGGATGGTCACGCCACCTGTGGATAGGGCACAGTGAACAAGTGAGTGCCTTGGGTGAAGCAGCGTATCGCATCATCGATGCGGTCACCCTGTACTTGGCAAACTGCTTCCTTGCAATATATATGTGGCCTTCATGACAGGCTCTTCTGCTTATTCAGTAGATGTCTGCCCTGAATAATCATAGAATCATAGAATCAACCAGGTTGGAAGAGACCTCAAAGATCATCGAGTCCAACCCTACCGTCGTTACTAGACCATGCCACTAAATGCCACAAATTGTCCCTGCAGAGCTGGAAGCAAACCTATGCATTTAAGGAGAGTACAGTGAAGGATCATTTTTCAGGCCTACAGACTGCATACCTTCAGGAGTGACGGGGAAAACCAACAAGAGTTTGGATGTCAGCTATTCTGACTGTTTAGCTGGGGTTAGTAGGAGTGTTTTAGGAATGGGGGTGGCTTCACTAGGTGTGTATTGTGGAAGGGGAAGACTTCTTTGTTCAGATGTTTTATGCACTTAGCGCTGGCACGAACAGTTCTGGGTCTGGGATGGTGCTTTCTCCAAGTGGCTGCCATATCCAGACTAGGTCTGGCTGTCCTCTAGCTCAGCCTACATGTAGGTGCTCTGCCAGGTTAATAGCATCAGTGCACAGAATTTACAAAGAAGCTTTGGGGTGACCCAGTTCAGGGGAGAAAGCAATGTTCATGGCTGCACACTACCAAAGGCAGAGACATTTCAGAAACTGCATGCTCAGAGAAGATGCACAATCCAGGATTAGTACAAAAGGCAAGAAGAAAATTTCCAGGGTCAACTGCAAGTGAAAAAAATAACACTGTGTTTGCCCATTCTTGGCAAACTTGAGAGAGAGGTAGTTGTTTTCTGCTGAGGGTTTTCTTGTTTGTTTGAGAAGATGATGCTAAATCACAAGCCCTGGCTTGACAAACACTTTTCATTAGTAAAATGAAGAATTTCTGGAGAGCATTCTCAGGTGCACCACGGCAGCTGGCTGCCTTGCCTTGCCAGTGCACAACAAATACTGGCAGCTGTCCCAGCTGTGAGTCCTTCCAGTCAGGGAAGGAGCCATTTCACAGTATTGAAGGTAACTAATTGGAAGGCATCAAGCATTTTGAATTGATTGTGTCAAAACATTTCATTCCAATACTCAGCCAAGACAAAGTGTTTACACATTAACAGATTGAGTTGGTTTAAATAAAAGCACCACACCAAGCCACAACACTTTGGCTTGTTTGACTTCAGTCTGAGTTGCCAGTGTCATAATCTCTACTTTCCATCTGTGGAGCATGTTTGCTAATCTGACATCACATGTTCAAAAGTCTGAGTCCTTTGAGTGAAAGTGATTCATTCGGAGGAGTCAGTGCAGCTTGGGATAACTGGAAAGGAAGAATATTCATAGCAGAGAATGGGAGCACAAGATGAGTCAAGCAGATTAATGTAAAACTTGCTCTGCACAACATTTCTAAATTTCTCCAAGAGGAGGAAAGACAATTTCAGATTAAGATTTCCTGAAGTACTCATACTTTTACAAAACCTGCATTTTCTACTCAGATGCTTAACTTGCTAACTTGTTCTACTGATTTCCATATCCTGTCTGTATGGGTTTACTCACACTGGCAGTGTGACAGATTTGCACACAGTACCCATATGGTAGCTGATAACGGCAAGAGCCAGAGAAAAGCCGGATTTTTCCATTCCTGC